AAAAAAAAAAAAAAAACCAACTATATTTTGGGCTGGGGAGAGTGGCTCATCCCCGTAATCTTAACACTGTGGGAGGCAGAGGCAGGAGGATTGCTTGAGCTCAGGAGTTCAAGCCCAGTGTGACCAAGATTGAGACCCCTGTCTCTACTAAAAATAGAAAACAAGCTCTGCATTGTGGTAGGTGCCTATAGTCCCAGCTACTTGGGAAGGCTGAGACAAGAGGATAACTTGAACCCTGGAGTTTGAGGTTGCTTGTGAGCTATGACACCATGGCACTCTGCCCAGGGCAACAGAGTGAGACTCTGTCTAAATAAATAAATTACTTAGCCAACCTTTTCTCCTATGACACCAACATTATTAGTCTTAGGTTTTTTTATTTTGTTTTTAAGTCAGGGTCTCACTAAGTTGCCCAGGCTGACCTCAAACTCCTAGGCTAAAGTGATCCTCCCACCTCAGCTTCCCAAGCTGCTCAGACTACTACAGGCACATGCCACCACACCCAACTCTAGGTCTCACTTATTTTCTCAGCCTTGTTTCCTGAAACTGCAACAAATAATGGAACATAGCTTATAGTTATCAGAAGCAGACTGGTAACAGTGCCATACCCCTATAGACTGGGAGTCCCCAGTACACAGAGGCCGAGAGGAGAACATTTTAGAGCAAATAAGTCACTTAGCCCTCAAATTGCACCACTTTGACAAGTGTCTATTTCCCAACTTTAGGGTCAGCCCTGTTGATTACATACTAGTATGAAGAGTCTATAATTAACTTAATTCAAAACAACAAGTCTCTCAGTACAGGGACTTGGTCTTAACTTAATCAGTGTATCCCTACCACTTAGAACAGTGCCTGATCTGTGGCAGACACTCAAATATGTTTTAAATGAATGAAGACACACAGGAAATCAACACAGACACACCTTAGGACTGTAGTGAATCATGACAAAGGCAAGCACCCTCATCAAATAAATACCAATAAATAAATACCAAAGAATAAAAGTCATTTTCAAAACTCCTCTGAACCATTTTCTTCTTACTTTTTTAACTGTTGATTTTCTTTAAAAACTCTCTAACTAGAAAAGCTAACTGACAACCTCAGTTCATTCATCTATTAAAAACATTAATTGTACCATGATAGCACTTCACGCTCATCTTCTACCTCCCACTTATCAGACTTCTCAAAAGAAAGCGGCATTTGGGAACTCAGATACAGCTCAGTTGTCCAAACAATGGGCTACATGATACACCACAGACTCCAGGCAAAGTCACAACAGGATGAGAAAAGAGCCTTCAGCCTCTCTCAGATTTCCTGGCCACCGTTATTTTAAAATTCGATCACATAAACATAAACAGGGAAAAAAATCCACTCCAGAAAAACCCTATGAGTTATGACTTAGGATCTTTGTTTTTAACATCTTGCATTAACTTGCATTCAATATTGCAATTGTTCATTACATTTTCTTGTTCATGTGTCTGGGCACCAGTAAGGAATACATTTTATGTTTAATACGAATATATTGTTTTATATAGTACATACTTTTTAACCAGGATAATCTTTCCTTAAAAATTATTCGGGCTCGGCGCCTATAGCTCAACCGGCTAGGGCGCCAGCCACGTACACCTAAGGTGGCGGGTTCGAATCCCCAGCCCGGACCCGCCAAACAACAATGGCAGCTGCAACCAAAAAA